TGTGAAGAGCATGAGAGATAATTTATGCCTTCTGTTTGTATCTGCGCACAGTTACGCAAGGTTGTAATTTTACAATCTACATTTTACAGGCTACATAGTCCAAATAATGCCAAATTACTCATAATTTAGGAGCTGTACTACGCTTAAGTTAAAATCCTCAGACTTCTTTCCCAGCAAAGTAAAAATGCACAGGCTTGATAGTTCCTGTGAACCCTAAACTTGCAGAGACTGGTGTTCTCACCTTTGGTTCTTATCTGTAGCTTCGTGTATGTGAAAATCCATGAGTCAGACAAGGTTGAAATATTTTTAATGAGAGGGAAAAAAGACAAAACATCAGAGACACAGATGAAATTTTTATACACCTGACATCTGTGAGGACCGTGCCCTGTTGGCCTGAAGTAAGAGTCTGCTTGAAGCAATCTTAGCATTAAAATGACTGGGAGACTGTGCAATATGTAAGGAAGCAGTTACAGTTAGAGCACATGCTGAAGAGTAGGTGGGGTGTGGGTGTAGATGAGATTGGTAGAGGAAGGGCAGGTGATTGGGGGGATTTGAGAAGATGAGAGTTGGAGATAGGGAGGGTGAAGGGAGCTACTGTTGTTCAAACGTTGAGCAATCAGCAGTCTTCTCCACCTTTCGGCTGCTGTATTGAAATGTAGTACTGTGGGACACCCTAAAACGTATATTTTTCTTCATAACTCACTAATAAATAATACATTTTCTATCATTTTAATAATAATAATATTACAGTAATATTACATTTAATGTAAGATGTCAGAATATCTAATTATGTGAGGGTTTTTAACAATTTTTAAAATTTCTACATAGTTAAAAACCAGCAGTGGGGGGAATAATTATTTGATCCTGGGGTAAATTTGTACGTTTGTAATTTGCAGGTTTACTGTACAGTGACTGTACAGAATATCAAGCAAAAATCTACATGAGACAAACATTATAAATTCATTTTCAGGTCACTGAGGAAATGATTATTTGATCCCTACAGTCCAGCCAGAATTCTGTTTGTGCTCATTTCTTTGGAAGTGAGAAAAATACAAATTCACCAGAGAATAAAACAATTATTTCCTCATCTGTACCATCAGACTTCTGTTCTAACGTCATGAAATGTGACGTCCTTGCAAGTAAAAGTGACCCTAGGTAATTTTGAAGAGTCTAATTCAATCGTTAGTATCATAGACATGTTCACAATTTCTCTTAAGAATATTGTTTGAATACATGAATTAGATACTTTTTAAAAACCCAAATAGCCTGTGTTTAATAAGGAGCTGTGATTTAGCTCTTCAATACACCATTTTTCAATGTCATTTGGTGAAAAATATTTTTTTATTGACAGAAAAGTTTATTCTCATGGAAAGATAAAGTCCTTTTGTTGGGCCTGATTTTACAGCCATGACTCCAGATGTACATTTACAAAAGTTACTAAAGTGGAAGAAAATAAAAACTGTAACTGGTGATCTCTCTCTGGGCATTTGTTCTCGGTAGGTTATGAAGATATTCTTCGATCGCTATGTGTTTGTAGTTTTACTTTTTCAGGGTTGAATTAGCACGTTTAATGTGTAATGTATTTTCTGAAATTATACGTTTTTGTTTTCCATTATTTCCTCAAATGTGAAAAGCATAAATATCTACTTCTATCTTGTTGATAATGTTTAAAAACACAGAAGGAGCCCGTTTAATCTTTTGTATTAAACATGAAGCTGCTGTGAGGACGTTGAACACGGCGCTGTCTCTGGTGCTGAAATTAGTTTGATTCCACTGCACTTAGCTATAATTTTGTATTTTCTAATTAGTTGTTTTTGTATTCAGTGTCTTTTTTTCATTCATTTTTTGAAGTGTAGTGTAGGTTTTTTTCTGTTAATTCAGATTTTTTTTTCCACACCTCATTTTAGTTTGTAGCTTAGCTTCGGTTATCTACATGAACTCTTCTGTAAATAAACACAAATATCTTTATGCCCAGTTTGTGGTGTATAAATAGCTCTATTGTAAAGATGTGTAGAGGTGAAGGGCTAATTGATCAAGTAGTGGGGCGGTCACGTGCCCGCCCAAGTCCATGGGTTCACTGTTGAGTTCTCATTAATTTCTGGGGCTATTCCGCCACATTTGATAGTTTGCGTTATTCAGCTATAACTGAATAAAGTAATCAAATGTAAAGTCATCCGCCTAACCATTTTTATCACTGCCAATTCTATCACAGCACCCTGCTGCTTTTCTGTTTCTTTCCCCGTAGGATTGTCTCCCACTTTCTCTCTCTATATATATATATCTTTAATGTCATCTCTCTCCCTTACCTATCCTCTTGTGAATTATGAATTCCGCCGCTTTTCACAGGCTTAATGTCAGAGTTACAGATATATGGGACAGCTCAGGAACTGCACTGTATCACAAAGTCTTCCACCGTGTAAACCTGAAATCAGTGTTGCAGCTGACCTGTTCCGCTGTGGAGAAGAACAGCTATTGAACGTCTTAGATTTAAGACATTAATCTTAGACACTTCCACCCTTTGAGTCCCGTCAAAACTTTCAGTTTTGTTTGTTACAGATTAGAGGGAAGAAGGAAACAATAGTCTAACGCGAAACTTACCGCTGTGGGGAAAGGGGGGGACACGCGTCATTTCGGTTGTAAGATATGCGGTAGTTGATGTGTGTTCATGTATTGGAAGCGAGTGCGTAATTGTGACTGGTGGGTGGCCCAAAGTTGTGAGCGGAATGCTAAATCTTTGGCTCTGTCCTCTAACTTGGTCCTTCCTGCTGCAGTGGGCAGACAGAGATTTTAATGTTGCATTAATGTATTTTCTATCATTAAAAAGGGGTAGGTGTCAATGTGACTGTGTTAGTGCGCAATCTGCAGAAAAAATAAAAAACATGGGCAGTGTGAGCATTTACGCATGAGACACATTAGCTATGTCTTCATTGCTAAATAGAGGGGTCGGGATCTGACGGTAAATGATGTTTGGTGTTCTTCTCGGTATAGCACAGGTCAGCTATACACATGGATGTCAGGTTTATGATGGAATAGTTTAGAGCAGTGTAGCCTCTTATGTCCTTGTCTAGTCTCGTGTTTTTTGTATAACTTTTCCCTGGAACACTCTCTCACAGTCTGTTCTCTAAAACCTAAAAGAGGAATTATGGATTGGATCAACTGGTCCCTAGATGCAATTGACACCCCTTTCTCAACGAGAAGTTTGGGCTTGGGTGAGCCTGAGTGCTGAAGATATCTACCTATTCGGAACCATGGTAACAGGGTTCTGGCTAATCGGAGCTGGCTTGGCCCTGACTTATCGAAGAATTAAGAAAGCAGAACCGGCTGTTCAAACCCCCACAAGGCTGCCCGCTGGGATTGGAATGATGGGAGAGGCGTGAGTTTCTCAAAATGGGCTCATTGAGTGCAGCACGGATAAGATCTTGGAGATGCTACGGCTGCTGTGAATACTCAGAATAAGATCTCTAACTGCAGACTGGATACATCTCGGAAGGGCTAGCTCGGAATAACATCTCTGGGCGCAAATTGGATGACATCTCGGGGAGGCACGCTGCCGTGAGTTCTCAGAAATCGGCTCCTTGAGCACAAGAAATGACAACATCACAGAACGCAAGTATGGCGAGCTTTGAAATTCATATGAGCTGTTTGCACTAAAGTAAAAACACCATCACTTATGCGGATACCCCTTTGGCGCCAGCTGCAAGGCTGGAGCTGAACAACAAGGCCACCTGGGTTGGCTGGAAGACTGTTTACTTAGCCTAGCAGGGCGAAGGAAACTGTCTCTGCTGAACTCTGGACACGCACACACATACATATACACTGATATGCACACACTCATCCCCCGTCCCTTTCCAAACGCCTTCGACGCTTATTCCCTTCCGATGCTGACGGTGGATCAAGGAGACCAGCGCACGCAGGCCTGGATGCACTGTCTAAATCGGCTGTCTCTCACCCTTTACCCACCCCTGTTGCTTGTCATGTGTTTCTTTGGTGTATTTAGAGTTTTTTCATGTGCAGAGGTGTTTTTTTTCTGTTCTCAAACTGGTCTCCCTGTTGGAGCTCAGTCTGGGAGGAGTTATTTTTTTCTCCTTATCTTTCCTCATGTGGTGCATTTTCCATTGTTATACCTCTCTGACCTGTCTTCCCCATGTGATGTTTGTGTAATGTATGTGTGGTCAGAGGGTAAGATGGCGCCGCCATTACGTGCAATAGGTCGGCAGCCTTAGGAAATTTCCCCTTGTGGGACCAATAAACGTATATCAAATCAAATCAAATCAAATTACCATTTTTGCAATAGTAATCCCTTACTTTACTCGCTACTAGAAAAAAGTAATCGGATTACAGTAACGCGTTACAAGTAACTGCCCATCTCTGATTGAGAGTGAGGAGAGCGGCATAAACAGTGAAATAGAAAGTGCAAGCAAGATAAATAAAGTACATTTAAAAAATATAATCTTAAAATTAAATGTGTGTATATTTGTTTGTTCCAGTTGTAATTTACAACAAATCCCCAGCTGTGCACGCAATTCATCGCCCAACAGAAAATGAAATAAACAAAGTAGTATCTAGTATAGTGAAAAACAATAGGGTACTCTCGTTAGAATGAAGAACAGCCTGTTACTGGTCATTTTGCGGTTATGGTTGTTTTTACTTACAAATCCTATAAAATATATGGTTTCTATTTTGAAGTTGTTATTATTTATTAGTTTAGTTTTTATCATAACCTTTGCAAGAGTGAAATCCGCTCTCATATTTCGCCATGTTACAGTCTAAAAACCTAAAAGCACTAACGAGATCCTTTATTTGCCGTCTACTCGGCATCCAGCCCCCCAGTGTGATATAAGATATAACTTATAAGCATGTGTAAAATTTAAAAAAAAATACAAAGGGAAAACGTAAACTTTGCTTCAGTGGGCCTTTATTTCTTTTTTGAGGTGATCCATAACATATTGAAACGGGCGTTAGATCTCCTTCTGGCTTCCAGATGCAGACGGATCTACATTTTAGTGGTACTGCTTTCCGAGAGCGGACACCACCACGGCCAAGAACTTCTGGAAGGTAGCCTGAACCTCTGGGGTGAAAGCGGAACCCAGTTTTCCAGCAATAACAATGGTCAGGCAGTCAGAAAGCAGCTGCATGGAGAAAGAAAAAAAGGCATAAGAAAATGTCGTGTTTGCATTAAAAAGAAGAAGAAGAAGAAGAAGAAAGGCGGGTTCTGAGGTTTACCTTGAAGTTGTCGGGGTCGACATGCAGCTTCTCTGAGTGCAGGACGCTCAGCTCGGCGTAGGTGGCTTTAATGTTGTCCAAGTTCTTCAGAGCGCGGTCCAGACCGTGGAGCACTTTGATTCCGTGGGCAGCGACTTTCGGGTTGGTGCTGATGGCTTCGGCGTTGTAGAGGTTACCGAAGGAGGAGAAATACCTCTGAGTCCAGGGGTAAACGACCAGACACCTGCAAGGGAGAAACACACGTGAGTTTGGCCACAGAGCACGTCATAGGAAGGATTGTCCTCTTGCAGAGGTGTTCCTTACCTGACCAGAGCCTTGGGCCCAACGTCGTTATAGTCCAGGTTGGAAAAGATGTTGGAGATGATGCTGCGTTCGTTTTCGCTCCACTCAACCATGGTGGCGTTTGATTATGATTTTTTTCTTCAGGCTTGAAGGAAAAGGCTGAATAGTGCTTCACTAGACCCCCTGCATCTATTTAAATGCGTCGAAGCTCCCGCACCCCAAATGAGAAGTCTGCTGTGATAGGCTGGAGATGATGCGCGTGAGATAAACTGCAGACTTCACCAGAAGTTTCTGGATTTGTTGATACGGTTTTGTTATTCGTGTCCTGCGCAATTTTAGCAAAGCCAAAAACAAAATTTCAATTAGCGCAGTTATTGTGCGGCCAAAGATTCCAAAGCCCAATATTTTATGCGCAAAATATTCCCAACATATTCTATTACAGTTATTTCAAATGCAGTCCTCAAGTCTCTGATAATTCTTATTATTATTTTTATTTTATTTATTTTATTTATTTTATTTATTTTATTTATTTTATTTATTCAGCTATTATTAGCTGAATCCTGAGTTGCTGTTGAGTTTTTTATTTTATTTTATTTATTTATTTATTTATTTATTTATTTATTTATTTATTTATTTATTTATTTTACTTTTAAACAAATCACACAGAGGATAAAATTCATAAAATGCAAAAAAGGCCTTTTGAAAATTATCTGTCAACATTGATTAAAGTGCGTCCCCCACTTTTTAAAATCTAAATAAAGTGTGTACATATTTTAAATGTGAATTCAGATTTTTTTTTTTAATATGGAAATGCATAATTCGTCTGTATCTGCCTGATATTATACAAATAAAGGTTCAACAACTTCACATCTTCACAAAAATATCAACATTATATAGAAATATAAGTAAAAAGGCTAAACATTTATGCGGAGAAAAATGAAAGAATTTATTTATTTATTTAGTCTTTATTTGTCTTTATTTTAAATGTGAGGGATGGTTGCCAAGCAGCTCGAGAGTGTTTGACGCTCTTTAAGTTATATCTCGTAAACCACACCGGTGTTATCTGCAGCAGCGAACCCCCCTCCACCCAAACCCCCCTGCGTCCACAGATGCATGTGTTTTGATTAAGAACACTTGAGCTGGCTGATAAAGGCCGTCTGCTCTATTTTCTACCACTGATAGGAACTTATTTTATGGCCCGAGCCAAAAAAGAAAAAGAAATGCTGAATTAAAAAATTAAATCTGATAAATCTGAGAAAGCTTTAAACAGCTTCAATTTGATAAGAAGAGCTGTTTTTTAATCTTGTATTTTTAGTATATCCTAGATCCACCGAGTGTACTTGCATATATTATAGAATTTTGCGCTCTTTTCTGTAAGTGCGTAATGTGCATGCACGCATTTTTGTAACTCCCACCTGCATCCATAAATGACACACATTCTTTGCGATCACGAAATCTGTTTGTTTTAAATAGATCATTTTCTTATACTTATATTGTACTTCATTGGTAAAATTGTTTAAATGATGATCACATCACGAAAATATACTTAATTTTTTTATTGATTGATTTAAGTAGTACGAATCGAATCGAATTGTTTTGTAAATATTCAAAATTATCATTATTATTACTACTACTACTATTACTATAATTTACTTGGTTCAGGCCTCAGTAAAGCTGGAAGTAATAGAAAAATGTCTTCAGTTTTATGAATCAATCAGTTTTACTGGCATTAATTTCACAGCAACTCCTCAGACACGAGTTCACTCATTGTTCTTAGAACTGTAGACTTTCTGCACATGATATCACTCCGCCTGAGATGTTCTCCACTCATCAGTCATCAGGGGACCATGTGCTTCACCTCTAACTTCTCACAAACTTGCAAAGCAGAAAATGTGGTTACGTTGCACTTTTGGTATCCTACACGAAAAAAATGCAGAGTGTTTTTGCAAATTCACACCCAAGATGTCACCAGCAGATATCACCCTCTGCGTTGGGCTAAAGCCAAACAAGTTTCTATCAGGTCCGGTGAATGAGTCCTATCTGCGTCACAGCTTGTGGCTTGGTATCAGATGCCCTGGGTGTGACCCAGGGGGGCAACTGAATTTAAGCAGAGCTCCTCGCCGGGTAGCATCATCAGAGAGAGAGAGACAACCAATCCAACATGAGTCTGACTGAGAAAGACAAGGCTGCCGTCAAGGCACTCTGGGCCAAGGTCTCCAAGGTTGTGGATACTGTTGGAGGCGAAGCTTTGGGCAGGTAAGGCTGTATTGGCACTTCTTTATTGAATTCAGTACAATTGAATTTTATTCATACAGCGCCAAATTACAGCAACAGTCGCCTCAAATATTTAAACACACTTCAGATGTGTGTTTCGACTACTTAAAAGAAGCTCGTGCTCCAGGTGAGGCTCGAACTCACAACCTCGGCATAACTCTGCAGGCTACTGTCTTATAAGTACCGCGCGCTGACCGATTGCGCCACTGGAGCTTGTGACCCACCATGTTCATCTCTGCTTCCACAGGATGCTCCTCGTGTATCCGCAAACCAAGACTTACTTCTCCCACTGGCCGGACCTGACTCCCGGTTCTGAGCCCGTGATGGTTCACGGAAAGCTGATCTTGGGTGGAGTCACTGAGGCCGTGTCCAAGATTGACAACCTGAGTGGCGGCCTGCTGGAACTGAGCGAGCTGCACGCCTTCAAGCTGAGGGTGGATCCATCTAACTTCAAGGTAAGACGCGGATCATGTGCATTTGCGATTTCAGTTATAAACAGAGGTTATTGTCTATTCCTATTTCACGCACGGTTAATTTATGTAACAAAGTAATCCAACATATTGAAAAGATTGTTTTTAAGAAGATCGAGTTTATTGACTATGCATTTGTACTAACAAACAGTCTGTTTATTAAAAGCGATTTCTGCCGAGCAAACTTCATATTTGGTGTAAACTGTTTCCTCTCTCTGCAGATCCTGGCTCAGTCCTTTATGGTGGTGATCGCCACTATGTTCCCTAAAGATTTCACCCCGGAAACTCATGTCGCCTTCGACAAATTCTTGGCCGCCGTGGCCCTGGGTCTCTCTGAGAAATACCGTTGAGATGTCGGCAGTGAAAAGCGCAGTTTGTGACCATTAAAATCATGGTTGGAAAACGAAAATAAAGCATGTCGCCAAAAATAATCCTGCTCTGTGTGTTTGTGTTTTTCTTTTTTTAAATATCTCTATCTTTAGTTTCACACCTGCACACGTGACACTGCAGAAAAAAGTCCCAATAAAGAGTTTCGTTTAAATGGCAGTGTTCTTTTTTTATGGGGAAGAACTGAGAAAAAAGGATTTTATGTATTTTTCTTGATTTATTTTATACTAAACAACAATCCATAGATTACAAACTGCCATGGAATAACAGTATCAAAAAGAAATATCCAAAAGTATGCCCTTTTTTAAATATATGGAGTGAAAGACAGAGCTTATGGATATATTGAATCCTGCACCACAGCTGTAAATGGAGTCATTTCATTATGATTCGGAGTTTATCATCACCCAGAATGATCCTGCAAAAACAGGAAGAGACAGTGACACTGGTGTATCATTCCTGTGGTTTAATTTAGTAATCCAGTTATGTGTAACTTCTCTTACCTGACCAAAGCAGCGGCCACAAGACCTCCCCCAATGGGACCGACCCAGTACACCCAGTGGTATGTCCAGTAACCGGTCACCACAGCTGGACCGAAAGCTCTGGCAGGATTTAGACATGTTCCTGATATATCACCCCTGCACATAAGTGATAAAGTTAAACAAGAGGAAAAACAAGTTTTTAAATCATTTACTTAAGCACAATATAAAATCCTGCTTAAGTAGGCCAATAATGCAAAACACTTTAGAATATGCCTAAAGCACCAAAAGCAATCAGACCAGGATATCATATATTTTTACAATATTATTAATGGGTCAGGTGAACAACACTAGAGGGCAATTTTAAGCCAATAGCACAAGTCATCTTCAAGTGCAGGATCTACCATGGATCGCACTACCAGAAGGCAACATTGCAGAAGTTGAGGACAGCTACACGTATCTGGGAATCCCACAGGCAAATAGCAAGAACAAGATCCAGGCTATCAAATTAGTATCACCGCCCTGCCTGTGATCAGGTAAAATGGTAAATGGCCTGTATTTGTATAGCGCTTTACTAGTCCCTAAGGACCCCAAAGCACTTTACACATTCAGTCATCCACCCACTGGTGATGGCAAGCTACATTGTAGCCATAGCTGCCCTGGGGCGCACTGACAGAGGCGAGGGTGAAGTGTCTTGCCCAAGGACACAACAACCGAGACTCGAACCGGCAATCTTCCGATTACAAGGCGGACTCCCAACTCTTGAGCCAAGATCGCTGCAGGACAGGGCCCTGTGTCTCACCCTGCCAAGACATTGATTATGACCGTACAGCCCACCAGGAAAGGAGCCAGTGGGGTTTTCGTCCTGGTATTGACAGCCACCAGCAGCACCACCAAAGTTATCAGGCAGGTCATGGCCACCTCTCCGAATATGGCTCGTGACAGCTGGCTGTCTGACTTGAGGATAGTAAACGCTGCTCCTGTGGCATTGATGAAGCGTTCTGGAGGGGTCATCAGCTATGAAACAGTAGAGTTGTGGTGAAAATTTCACAGGATACTCAAACATGCATTTAGAAGATGTGAAGGTGCTGAACCTTCAACTGACCTTGGCCATTCCAGCTCCCACCACTCCTCCAATCAGCTGGCAGACAATATAGAGCCCCGCCATCATCAGGTCCATGCCTCCACACAGGTAGATGGCAACAGTGAAGGGAGGGTTAAAGTGAGAGCCACTGGGAGGAGGCAAAGGAGCAACAAAGACAAAGTTGAGAACAAACTGAGCTAACTCCACTCAAATCTGGTAAACCTTTAACCCAGAGTTATCAAACATAAGGCCCAGGGGCCAGAATGGGCCAGCAAAGACTCCTGATAAACACCTCCCCATGAACACTCATGCTACTTCAAAGTAAAACAAGGTGATAGATTAACAATGAAATGACAGAAAAGTTATTTTTGTCACTTACTGTAAAAATTTCTTTTTGTTACAATGAAGCCACAGTCAAATAA